TCCTTCGCGGGCTTGGCCAAAACTAATCTAGTTTCAATAACTGATCATTTGGCAAAAATTCCATGGCAGCGCACTGTGAACCACGGAATTTTTTAGCAGTCCATTTAAGTCTATACCTACATCAAGCATAGCTGCAGAGAGGATAGTCTCGGAATTCGACTTTTTTATTAATTGAGACAAGTTTGTCACAATCCTCTGTCTAACAAGATATCCTTTTGGTCATTTCTAACTATATATTACACTGTAGGATTCACGCTGGCTGACAGTGATGTTCTTTGTGCATATTTTTTTAATTAAAAATGACATTACGTCAGTCATGTGACAGAATATGAATTGTGACTTGAATTAATTCAATTAAACCTAGAAAAGTATCTTTATGTTTTATAAATTAAAACACACGTCTCGCAAATCAATAATCCCCTTCATCTTGAACTGAATCTGTCCTCAAAGCATAAATTTTATCAAATGCTGTAACCACCTTTTTATCTTTAAAAAATAAAGACTTTCTTAAATTAAGATAAACCTTTTTATCCAAACGGACTTTGTGATTTTCATTAAGAAACCTCCGGGAGTTCGTAGAAATCCACTGTTTCATTTTAGTTACACAGGACATACTTATGATCACAATTTCCAGGCTTTATGGCACTTCAAGATGGCCGATCGAATGATATGCCAGTGTCACTCCCTCAGTTACTCCACAATAATCTCTTTGTGAAGGGTCTTTCCTAATAAAAGTCGATGTTAACATACCCCACTCTCGTGCATTGGAACCACTGTTATCAGCTTACTTCCTCTGTGTAAGCATAATCAGAAAGCAGTCAAAAGTCCACAAATATTGCTTTGTTGTTTATTTATCTATACAGGGAGACGGAGTTCATTGAATGCAAATCAGAATGATGAATCTGTTACAAATCGGGTTTGTAGTGAAGTCGAAAGGGATAGAGTAGAGGATCAGCTAAGGCTGCGGAGAGGACAAATATATCCGGCTGTACTTTGCAACATCCTTCTTCAGCTTAACTTCCTTCGTTGTCACACGCGACCCCAACTGAAAAAGAACAGAGTGCAATTGCTGGGTATATATGTTTGCGTGTTCGGAGACATCCGATAGACCTACTTGCGTTTTAGTGTTTTAAAGGATAGAGCACAAACTTCACACGCATGCCAGCAAATCCGCAACAATTCCGGTGGGTAAAGTTTTCGTTCTCGGGCAAAAGCTTTTTCGTAAAGAGGCATGAGGGTAAAGAGGAACGACTGGGAGCAAGCAGTTTGGAAGAAGGAAACAGGATTGCTTGGGAAGGATTTTAGTTTGGCTCACACAGCGCATTCACACTAGCATCTAGAATTGTAGGCAAGATCATATGAGGGTAGTATTTTTACGCGAATGTGCCCAAAAACAGCTGCTTTTCATGCTTGCTCTGACTATTTATACTAGAGTAAATCCGAAACGTCATACTTCTCTCTTTCCAACGCCAAAACCAAAGCACTTATAGCGCGCTCTACACTGTGTAACAAAAATGTGCATGAATTGTCTGAAACTATTCAAGGAGTTTGACAATTCTTTGGTTCTGACCCTTACCTGCTGACAGCTTCGGAAGTAAAGGAAGGTAGGTAGGAGAGTAATGCCAAACCGTTGGGCCAGGTTCTATAAAAGTTTATTAATATAAAATTATATAAACCAACGACTTTAATTATAAATCGACACTGAATACATAATATATTAGAGTGTAAGGGGAAAATTCCTTATAGATAACACCACAGGAACAAAAACTCGGACTTTCATGTAATACAAGACCGGTGATAAAAGCGGTACAATGGGTGGGTAATATTAAGTCTTATAAGTAAGGTAACTAATAGAAGTGATCATTTAAATAACTTGATGTAGAGTGCGCGATAAGGAAAATGATGAAGGCAAACAATAGGGAACAAGAACTGTGCAAAATGTGAAATTGCGCAAACTCCAGAATTATCCGAAGAACTTTGAATATTCGAGGTTAAAGTAAAATCACAAAAAGTAGGCACTTCAACATTTTCGGAAACTCATAAGAGCTTCTAATGTATTAAAAAGTATTGCTCTCCGGTAAGCCGAAAGGCAACCATATGTCGCTAACAAAGCCAAAATTAAACTAGACTGAAAATTAAAAGTAAATAAGCGTACTAAAAATAAATAATACAGGATAAGCTTAACTAAAACATATGAGACCGAAAAAAGCACGCTAAAGATGTCCGTGTGAGGAACAATGTATTGGTAAATGCTGAAAATATACAAGAGAAAACAGCGAAATAATTAGTCAGTTATTTATAGTTTTAGTAAATAAAATAATATAATGTCAACCTTACCAGGTTATTGCGTGCGTTCACGATAAGAATTACAAGGCGTTTGTTTTCATGACTTATATCCTGCAAAATCCTCATGATGTCGGCAGTATCCTCATCCTTTAGGTCCACAAAGGCTACCATGACTAGACGAGCCTTGGCGCTCATGAGACACTCATCCAGACCCATATTGATCTAAAAATGAGGTTACGCAAGTCAATCATCATAGTCCAAATTTCCTTAGATTACTTTTATTGTAAAAAATAAAGAAAACGGGTAACTGTGAGAAATGTGGTGTACTAGCTTAATACAGGTAAAACTGACCCTGGAGAGAAAACTTACCTCAAAAAGTGGATACATATTTGTCGCCTAAATAAAAACGAGCCAGAAAAGTACGTTAATTGCTTTATATATTGCTGTGTGCATAAAATAATCTAAAGACCGTTTCAACAAAATAGGCTTTTAGGACAGGAGTATGCAGAAGAATGGCTAGTTGATATCCAGACTGCATGAGTGCGGGTGAAGCTTTATATGTTTCTACAACTATCGCAGCCTGAAAGCTGTCCACAGCTAGCTAAATTCCAAAAACTTATTTCCACTGCG